CTTTGTTGATTTTAGGTTCATAATGGATCACGATCAAAAGTTACTTCTCGTAATTCTTATGTACCTTTACATCCGTTATTTTTGGAAGAGGGGTGTGAAACGATTGCAGGATAATGATTCGGAAATGACGGGTCATGAATACACATTGGAGTTATTACACCGTAATCGTTTACAATGTGTTGAAGTATTACGCATGTCCCGTGACTCATTTGTACGACTATGTGCTCATTTTAGAGCACATTACTCATTAAAGGACAACAAACATGTATCGGTTGAGGAAAAGATGGCTATGTTTTTTATGATGATCGGCCATAATCAACGTTACGTGATTATCAAGCGGAGATTTCAACACTCGAAGCAAACAGTTCATAAATTTTTTTATGAAGTGTTGGAAAAAATGATGCTTTTCGCACAAGATGTTATAGTACCAACTTCTTTTAATTCGAATCCAAACATTCCAGGGCATAATAGGAGGCTACGACGGGTTTTCAAAGGGGCGGTTGGTGCACTTGATGGCACTTTGATACATGTTGTTGTCCCTGCTAAGAAACAAGACTTATATAGAAGTAGGGGAAAGGGAGATTGCTACCAAAACGTATTGGCAATTTGTGACTTCAATATGATGTTTACATTTTTTGTGGCCGGGTGGGAAGGGGTGCGCATGACTCTAGAATATTATCAGAAGCAATAGCCGATCCACAAGCATCATTCCCGTTTCCACCACCAGGTAAGTTTTTGTTTTTTTAAATATTTTTATCTTACTTTGAAAATTGATTAGTGTTTTTCATTTTTTACACACAGATATTATCTTTGTGATGCCGCGTATGCACACACTCGAGGATTTATGGCCCCTTATCGTAATGTGAGGTATTGGCTTGGAGATTTTCGTCAACGACGTGCATTGACCAATAAAGAAAAATTTAACCACGGACATGCAAAACTTCGGAATGTCATTGAGCGTGCTTTTGGTGTTTTGAAAGCACGCTTCCCTATATTGAAGAGGATGGCACCATTTCCGTTTGTGACACAAAGAAACATTGCCATGGCATGTTTCGCGCTTCATATTTTTATAAGGAGAGAAGGACTGAGTGATGAGTATTTCGCACGATACGATCAACCCAATGTCTCGTTTCGAAATAACAATGTGTCCGTTGAGGATGATGAAGACGATATTCCAAGACATGGTACTGCAGCAGACCGTGAATATATGACTCAGTTAAGGGATGAAATTGCTGTGTTTTAAATGAAATTGTTATTGTAAAACCTAAATTTTATTATTGTATGACTAATTTAGTTGCATGAATTTTATTTTCAATGTTATAAGACTATTATTATTAAAATTTTGGTGTTGAAAAATCATTTTAAGTTTGTAAAATCATTTTATTTAAAATTCAGTTTATTTCAGCAGCCTGCAGACGTTAAAAAACAAACAGTCTTCTTATTGCAGACTGCAGACGTTTGGTCCACCTCTTCTGCTGCAGAGGCTTGCAGATGTGGTCCGCAGACTGCAGACATTTTGGCTTCAGAAAAACAAACAACACCTTAGTCTCCACTAACTAACCAAGTGAGTGTATATTTACTTTCTGCTAATACATAAATACAAGTATTTTAAATGCCTAAATGTTATGTGTGTTGTTTATGATGGGTTTAGGTAAAACAAATAAACTAGAAAACAATTCTAAGTTCACATGCAACCTACTTCGGATCTATGTTTTTACTATTGAATATATAACTTTGAATTGAAAAACAAGAACCCCAAGGGAAGATGCTATTTTCGAAAAATAACAAATTAGGGTTTTTTTAGAATCACACCTTTCAATTGTTAAAGTAAGAAATTGAAAATCCCTTTGCATCTTGATCTTCGTGGAAGCCTAGCACTACACTTGTCGTGCCTCTGATAGAATCACACCCAAGAGCTGGCAAGAAGGAAAATATATATATATATATATATATATATATATATATATATATATATATAGAGAGAGAGAGAGAGATGGGGGGGTATGCAATTTCGGCTTAGGGTTTCTTCAGGAATAGTGGTGGCCGAAATTTGGAGCTAAGAGGCTCCTTAAATAGTTGTGGTAGTTAGGGTTTAAGGGATAACCCTAATGTTCCTTTACTTTAGGCCCGAGCTAATACAGAAGCCTTATCCAAGGCCCTTGGACGAAATCATTAGGGTTACCCCTAAGAATTTCGTCCAACTCCTCCAAGGAGGTTCTGGAATGTTCCTTCCAACTTTTTATGTTCCTTCCAACTTTTTAATAATTGCAAACCAGTCCCTATACTTTATAGTTAATACAATTAACCCCAGAATTAATTCCAATTAATTTCTGGTTAACTATTAATCAAATAATAGGATTTCTAATTAATAAATTATTTTCATAACATATTGATGAATCATTTATATTAATTTATTAATCTTATAATAAATTAATTTCTCTCCTTTCATAATTTCCTTGTCCAATTGCTAGGTTTGAGGGCAACCCAAAAGGATTGTGCTGCTATCAGTTCAAGTATATACCAATTATAGTTATGGACTTAGACACATAATCCAATAGTTTCCCACTTGGATAAGTCTATAACTATAACTGCTAGTATGACTTCCAAACTGACCAACAAATTTTAGCTTCCAAAAGTTGTTGCTGAAATCTGACCCAGTCAGTTACATGTCCTAAGATAAGTGATCATATAATCCTTCGTTCTGCCTGATATCTCCGGACATAAGACATGGAATGCAATCAATCTCCTTGTCCAGAATCTATGTTTCCCGATTTATGATTTGTGATGATGTAGGACTTCTAATTGAACACATCAATTCAGTCCTGGCTGGGCCCATGACATAAGCCAACACCAAATCATCAAAGGGCGTACAAATATCGCTTTTCCCGTTAGGCAGAAGGAACGAATAAACTTTGAATCATATGCTTGTATGTTTTACTTATCCAACCATACATGATAATACGTTTTATAATACCAAGTTACTGATGCGTTTTCGCATTACCAATGCATAACCGACTTGTAAATTACTGATGTGTGTGAAATGCACTAGTTTTAATCCTACTAATTTAAACACAAAATAAACACACGAAAGGCAGTGTACCTATCGATTAGCAATATAGTTCAAGCAAGTAGGGTATCGAACACAGGGAATGGTAACAATAAGATTAACTACTAACTAGCCAAGTGAGTGCATATTTACTTTCTGCTAATACATAAACTCTTTTAAACTATTTTAGACTTCTGTTTTAATATCAAAAAAAATCGTATTCATTTATATATTTATGTATAAGTATGCTTTAATGGACTTAGGACTATTGTTAAATACCTTGACTAATGTTCCTTGTTTAGTTATGGGCTTAGGGTAGGATTCTGATAGGAATCGATAACACAATAATGAAGAACAGAAACTGAATGCTTGATTACTATGAAATTCAAGTGGAAATAACAGAATAACAATTCAGAAAAGTTAATCAAATGTTTGTCCTTCCTGACCTAAATCAGAGAGGATATCAAAGAGATGACCTCATGCCCAAGCTAATGCCGAAGACTCAAAATACAAATGCAAAATACTGAATGCCTCACTACTCCTATCACTACTCTATTTATACTATTCTTGAGATAATTCTAGATAGGGTGCAAAATAGATAATAATAGATATTACAATTAAGTCCCCCATGTAAACCCATATATTTATATAAGACCCATAACACATTCTCTATCAATACCACCGTCTTGAAGAAGAGGCTTGTCCTCAAGCCGGGAGTTACGAAATTGACTTTTTGTTTGCAAGGCACTTTTGCTTCTTTGATTGGAACTTGCTTCCATGGAATCAGCCATTGCTTTCCTTGTCCTGACTCAAGGGCGTTTTTTTCATTTTGACACAAAACAGAAAGTGGGAAAAGGATTGAACTTTTTGAGAAAGGGGGAGTGCATGAGGCTGGTACTCTAAGATGGATAGGCTTAGAACGCATAAGACCTGATTTGGATGGTAGTAATGTAGGAACAAGTTCAAAGAAAAGAGATCCAATAGGCTCACTCTTGAATGTAGAAACCTCGTTCTTCCCAAATTCAAACTTGATATTAACTTTCTTTTTATCCTCAAAGATTCCATCAGGTTGTGCCTAACTCAAAAAGATCCTAACTTTTTTCTTATAAGCCCCTTCTAAGTTTTTGATTTCAATTATCTCCAATACAAATTTAATGACATTTATTTCAGGAAGATTGATTAATTTTTGAAATCTAGTACCCGAATCAACTTTTTGGGTCATGACTTGAGTGGTAGTGACACGAGAAAGTGGAGTACCTCTACAAAATGCTCCTGCTCTCCAATAACTTGAACCAAAAATCTCCTCCCCTTGTTGTGTAGTTAGAGAAAATTCAACACTTAGTTTCTGACCTTTGCACCATTGCAAAAATTGACAACCATAAAAGCAATTGTTCCTATCTTCATCAATAAATTGGAGTTGATGCATAGCAGCAGATACAAGATCTTCATGTATCAGAATATTTAGTGATACAATCCACTCTGATTCTTGTTCCATATCTATTTTGATTCTCAGCTTTTTAATAGTTATAATTAATCCAAAAAGAGCTTTATAATTATGGAATTGGGCGGTTGGACCAAACTGATTGCAGTGAAAATCCAAAACAAAACCACTATACTTTTGACTTGATGATATAAATACTTGTTTTTCTAAGCGCTTGGGTACCCAACCTGTGTCATAAATCATGATGTTTTTCTGTGGGCTCTGTTCTTGTGAGAAACTTGAAACTAAGCCGGAAGTGATCTTAGCCAGGAGTAACATTCTTGACTCCCCTTCAACACTTTTGAATTTTGGGTAATAACTTTGAGCACTAAAACTAAACCTTTTCAGATGTCGATCTTCCCCTTCTTGTTGAATTAGGTGGGAAGTGACGATAAGATTAGATACGACACTCGGTTTTGGCGCTTCGTAGGGTTTTAATAGTGATTGAATTAGTGTAATATTGAATTGGGTCGATTAACTGGTCTGTGAATCGGGCCCAATGGAGTGAACGGACTGATAGGGCAAACTACGCAAACCACATGGACCAAACCGAAAAAATAAATTGGATCTAGCAACAGAGTTAGATGTATTACCCTTCACGCTTGGATTTTCTTCCGGAGTGGCGATGACGATGGCGATGGAAGTGGCGGTGGCTGCAGGATAGGCAAGCGCTATTTGTGATCGTTGTGTAACGATCTCCACAACATCGTGTTCTTCCTCCTTGAAGTCCGGCGACGAGAATGGTGCCCTAGGGTTCCCGAAGTTAACTTTATCAACCTGATCAGAGAACTTTGTATGTTTCTCCCTTAGATCTGCCAAAACCCTTGATTGAGTGACGAATGGAGTATACTGTTGGGGTTGATCACCAGAGGAAACGTTGACATCTGTAGTAGACCAGTGGCACAACTCCGATTCAACCTCCTGTTGGTGTTTCTTTCCTTGAGATTCTTGGGATTGTTGGATCATCTTCTCAATTGATTGAGGCATTTCATTGAGTAGCTCTTTCATGGCTCTCGAGTGGTCCTTCATCTGTTTAGATAGCGTCTCAATCTTCTTATCTTGTGAATCCATCCGGTTTTCAAGCTCGATGCATATTTGTGCTTCAGTGGGTTGTACCATGGTTTCACACAGGAAGAAGAGGATTGAAGGGCAATGGAAACAATTGATAGGAATCTATAACACAATAATGAAGAACAAAAATTGAATGCTTGATTAGTATGAACTTCAAGTGGAAATAACAGAATAACAATTCAGAAAAGTTAATCAAATGATTGTCCTTCCTGACCTAAATCAGAGAGGATCTCAAAGAGATGACCTCCTGCCCAAGCTAATGTCGAAGACTCAAAATACAAATGCAAAATACTAAATGCCTCACTACTCCTATCACTACTCTATTTATACTATTCTTGAGATAATTCTAGATAGGGTGCAAAATAGATAATAATAAATATTACAATTAAGTCCCCCATGTTTTCCCATATATTTATATAAGACCCATAGCACATTCTCTATTAGATTCACTTGTCCGACTGTCGGTTGATCCATAATTATACATGATAAATATATGCATGAATATTAAATCTCATTTTAAAGGACATACTTAACTCATTTGTATATGCTGAGCAAATGAATCTTTTCTCCAAATCAATGACAATTCAAACAAACATACTAGTAAACTATAATAGGTATTGTTTAGAGATCAGTCACACTATTTTCTAGAATCAGAGAAACAATACATGAATCAATACATACATACTAATACTTTTCATTACAAAGCATACTATTCATTTACAAGAACAAGAAGGAACTTTCATACTATACGTGCACAAGTTAACTACAATGTGAAACACTATTTCATGTGCTTGGCAATATTCTTGCCAAGACATGTTTTGTAACTAGAGTCTCCTGGAGGGAGAGTGTGAGTTTGTGTATAGATCTATAGGGGACTGACAATCCCACACCTTGCTGCTAGCTACAGTGTGACCTATAGGTCTATGGGTGACAAATGTCATATCATTTTCGATGTCTGAAGAACGTCGTGTTTTATACTAGTCAATCAAGTATGGTTATAACTTAAATCACATTAAAACCTTAATTAACCAATTCGGTTACAAGGCAATAAATTCATTCAGTAGTGTATTTTAAAACAATACTATTGTACATCTTCATTTTCTATTACATACATATAGTGATATTCTCACTTGAGTTCTGCATACTACTTTTCTAGTAAAGATAGTTACTACTATGGAAAACATACATTTCATACTATTTTAAATACAAACATACATTTTACACTATTACAAGAGAACAAACATTACAAAACAGTCGGGTCTTGGGTAGAAGACTACTTTACATTTTAAGTAGAAAATATGGGATTTTCTGGGAAGTATACTAACATTTTCAATGAAACAAATAAAAACATTTGAAACTAAAATACTTATGAACTCACCAACTTAAATGTTGATACTCTCTTTCAAAATAACTTGTATTCTCAGGAACCAGTAGACAGGTACATTTGCACAGGTTTTGGGAAGACAGAGCATGTTCAAGACTCGTCTTTTTATTTTGATATATATACATTTTTGGTGTCATTCAACTTTACAAAGAACACACATGTATTAACTATATTATTAATGCAATGGATGTTGTTGGTTGTTTTACTATTGTGCATTGTTATGATACTATACATAACGTCCTCCACCCCCGAATGTTTCCACCATCTCGGTTTGAGGGTGTGACAAAAAAACATCCTAGGGTCTGGGTTTTGAACATTACAACATTCCTATGGTGCACATGCAACCCTAATTGGTATGGATCTAATTTTTTTCTCTATTGAACATACAAATATGAACACCAAAACAATAATCCTATATACTAGCATACAATTTCGAAATTCACATAAGAAATAGGATTAGATGATTACCTTACTTGTTATATTGTAATAACAAGAACAGTCATTGCTTGATCTTGACTCTTGAAAGCCTAGTCAACAATTATATTAATTTTACGTCCGGCTAGCGAGTGATGTAGCATTGACTTAGAATTAGAGCTAGTGAAGGTCAAACCTTTTGTGGGTTAAAGTGTTGTATTGAATCACACAAGGAATGCATACATCATGTAATCGTTGCCCCTCACTAGCTATTTCCTAAACAAAAACTATATTGTTGTTAAAAAAACTAAAATCTTATTAGATTCCTTTAAGACTCATTTTTCCTGATATACAGACATGTCGATAAGAGCATAATCAACAAATTCCTTAGACGTTGCATTATTATTCATTTTCAAATTAACTAAGAAACCTTCCGTTAGCAAAAGAAGAAGTTGTAGTCTCTAAATTTGTAGATGAAAGCCTTTGGTCTTGAAACTAACATGTATAAAAGCATTTGTGATCAGATTCCACCCAATTTAATAGACATACAACCTTCAATCTTCAAACAGTAGCGGATCCAAGATCAAAGTAAAAGTAAAGGGGTATCCCGACAAAAAAAAATCGTATAGTAAACATTAAGAAAATAAATCCGGAAAAAATGACACTACTAATTTTTTTTTAAGGGGTATCCTGGGCTACCCCGGGATATATATTAGCTCCGCCAATGCTTCAAAGTAGTAGATGTGAAAACAGTTATACAATTTCAGTCAAGTTAGCAAATATAAAACATTTCAGTTTTTAAACAAAGAAACATAGATACAACCAAACATCCACTATTTCTACATTAAAAACCTCTATCTTTCTACATTAATAAGATCACCTTAAACAATGCTGAGAACAAGAACAAAATGAATTATAGCCAAAACGAAAAAGTTAACCAAATATAAGAGGTTTTTTTTAAATAAAAAAAGTTCGGTTTTTTTTTTTTTTGACAAATGCAAAAGATCCATAAACATGCGAAAATGATTGGAGCGAAAAATTGAAAAAGTATAAAGCTTATTTAATCAAGATAAAATTGTATTATAATATTAACCCCACTCTACTTTCTGAACATTAATTTTAGACAAAATTACAAAAGCCGTTAGGGTAAGGGTATTTTCATCTTTTCAGGTATAAAAAGATTAAATTCGTGATATGGTAAACCACAGGGACCATTTTTGAAATTTGCTTCAAAAAGACAATTAAAAGCTGTAGGAGGGATCGAACTCAAGACCTCCAGCCACTTAATGTACCAAAGCCTTGACCAATTGAGCTGCTATTCTTTTGGTTTTTTCTTTCCTAAAACTAACTTTTATATATATATATATATATATATATATATATATATATATATATATATATATATATATATATATATATAGATATATATATATATATCACTATGTCTTTTCATTTTCATTTTAACCATACGATTTAGAACTTGCGATTAAGATGAAATACGTATTTTAAATAAGATATATAACCGAATAAGTTTTTTATATTTTTTAAAATACATATAACCAAATACGTATTTAAAAAAAACGTTTTCAAAAAACCGGTTGGACCAAACCAAAACATATCCGGCCGATTTTGCCTTCCAATACAGCATAATAACATTTTTTAATACATATAACCGAAAAGATGGTTTTAATACTAGCAACCCAAAAGAATTTATATATTTTTTTATATCATTAGTAGTGTTAATTATTATTATTATTTCAAAGACATAAAAAAAATATTTTACAAAAACGTATATTTTATACGAAAACGTATTTTTTAAAAACAAAAAAATATATTTTATGTAAAATAAATACATAAAAATACATATAAATTGTTTGTAAAAAATATTTTTTTTTTATATAATACAACTAAACTAAGGTACATTTTGTTTTATTTAAAAAAAATTAGGAAAAAAAAGTTTTTTTATTTATATATTGTTTATATTTTAACGATTTGTTATTCTATGAGTTAGTTTTAGGAAAGAAAAAACCAAAAGAGTAAGCAGCTAAATTGGTGAAGGCTTTGGTACATTAAGTGGTTGGAGGTCTCAAGTTCGAGCCTAGCCTTTAGTTGTCTTTTTGAAGCAAATTTCAAAAATGGTCCCTGAGTTAGTAAAAATGGCCATCTATGCAAGTTTTACAAACCACAAGGACCATTTGCATCAAAAAAATTAACAGATAAGTTTTACAAACCACAAGGACCATTTGCATCAAAAAAATTAACAGATACTGACTTTATGACTTTTGACAAACCACAAGGTCCATTTTTGTAATTTTGTCTTAATTTTAAGAAATTGTCACTATGCACGTGCCTATTTAACTATTTAAGCATTTTCTTCTGTACTAAATAAATATGTTTATTTTGAAAGATTTTTGCACTTTCTTGGAATTTACGTTGTCCTACTAAATATGTTTACTTAAAGAATAAAAAGAAAACTAACACCCCCTGAAATCTCTCGATCATAAGCCAAAAGGAAAACCCATCATCCTCGTTGACCTCCTCTCTGCGATCTCCCTTCATTGCTGACTCACAATTTCCCTGCCGACTTACCGCCATTCGGTCTGTAGCTTTCAGTCATCTTTCACAGCCTCGTCACTGTTGACTCATCCTCTATCATCGCTGCTTCAGATCTCCTTGTGTTTCTGTAGGCAGCTAACTATGAAGCCACGTTCTTACAAGTTAGTTTCAGATACTGTTTGACAATTTCATCTTATTACACATAAATCAACAACAACATCATTTGTTTATTTCGTGAACATGTGATTGAATTTCTTTTTCTATTTCGATTATTTCTGTTTTATTTTATATATCATTTAGTATAGTACACACTCCTTTTAGAGTAAAGTCCACTAGTCCAGAATGATGAACAGAAATTCGTGCACAGTGGGAAATTCTTCAACCCTCCAAAATTACTTCCTTAATTCCTTTATATCTTCAAGGAATTTTGGGGATCTGTACGCCAAGAAGCTTATTATTATTTTTTTCTGTTTGGATCTTCAAATTACTCTTTGTTGATATCTAGAGAAAGCATGAAATTTCCTTTCATTGAAGGTAATAGTGGATCTTGTACTTGTATCCAGAATGGTATTTGGTGTTGATTTGTAGGTTAAATGAATAAAACGGTTTGATATTTTTTTGCACCCAAACTTAGTTGGGAAAATAGGTTAACCAATTCAATTAGTTGAGTACCTGTTTTCTAAATAATTTCCATGGCAATGTAATTGTTACTCTCTTTGCTTGTTTCACATACTTAGCTATACCTTTTTCCATTTGTAATAAGAGCAATCTCTCTTTGCTTGATTCACATACGTCCCTTGCACACAAAAGAGAACCACCGGTTAAAACACACATATACATATTATGCAATATATAGCTCCAATATCAACTCTAAGCTCAAAGTTAGGGGGTAAATATTGCCATTTTAACACAATTAGAGTTTATATAATGAGATTTAAACATTTTCTAGGCATATTAGCTCACATGGCAATGTTTGGAAATTGGAGATGCATATGTATTGTATTTTAATTACTTAAAAGATTTATTTCTGAGGAATTCAAAGGTATTTTTAATATTATTATTGAGGTTTAAATTGTTTGACTAGATTTACTTTGCATATTGTTAATACTAATAATTTGAATTTTTGTAGAGGCATTATATACTGGATCCTAACATTGAAGCAGAAGTGAGGAAAGCTTATGAAGCCAACTTACATTATCCATAACCTGTGAAGAAGTTTGAAAGCTTACTTGGATACACACTTAAGTTCAAATTAATAAATACTCAAAATCGTGAGAAGGGTGAAGAGTCATCAACACATAACTCATAATGGTTGTTCTGTCTGAACTTCCAGAAGTATCTTCATCTTCTTCATCAACTCATGGCCATAATTTAATAACTCATGGTCATAATTCATCAACTCATGGCCATAGTTTAATAACTCATGGTCATAATTCATCAACTCAGGATCATAGATATGATGTATTTTTAAGTTTTAGAGGTGTTGACGTTCGTCATAGTTTCACTGATCACCTTCATAAGGCCCTCATTGATGCCAATATCAATACCTTCTTGGATGATGAAGAGATTGAAACAGGAGAAGATCTGAAACCAGAATTGGAGAGTGCAATTAAGGCATCCCGGGCTTCTATTATTGTATTGTCGAAGAATTATGCTTCTTCAACATGGTGTCTGGATGAATTGGGGCTGATCCTTGAGCAGCGTATCACATCCAACCACATTGTCATCCCCATATTTTATCATGTGGAGCCCACCCATGTCAGAAAGCAACAAAGTAGCTTTGGAGATGCAATGGCTAAGCATAAACAGAAAATGGATGAAGAGACCGATGAAAATAAAAGAAGTCAATGGGGTCAAAAGATAGAGAGATGGAATAAAGCACTTATCGAAGTTGCTAATTTGAAAGGAAATGACGTAAATGGCAGGTAACCACATATTCACCCATATGAAAATGTCAATATCATCTTTACTCTATGCATTTCAGTAAGTTTCTTTTTATATCATCGAATAGACATATATTTGATATAGTAGGATAACTAAGATGCACAAAGTTGTATCCATGTTATCTGATCTCATTAATCAATTTATATAGATAGATTAATTATTCTGATAATTTTTACATTTTTGTTATGCATTTATTTATTTTAAACAACTACTAATCTAATCCTAAACCTCACCAATGTCTCGAGCGAGACTTGAACCCTCAATCCCTTGGAGGAGGAGCACCTTTTCCAACTCCTGATACCGCTAGGCGATAAGCTCTTTGGTTTATGCATATATTATTTAAAACAGGAAGACACAACAATTAGAAAGGAAGAGATCATGCCACATCATACATAACGGTTTTAGCATGGTTAACTAGCTGCATTATTTGGTACTTATTTAAAATGTTGTTGTATATTAAATATAGAATTGTCGCATATACCGGGAAAAAGACGAAACGTTGTTGCATGACTAACTAACTAACCGTTTTATTAAAAACCAGACTTCGAATACGTTGCTATACATCTACTATTACTTATACCATACTACATTCAAATCATAGCGTCTTTTATGATAAATAACTTATGTTGTAAGTAGTAAAGGATAACCACATTGATAGTTAAGTTTGACAGTCTTGTAGAAACATAGTGAAGTTACAAGCCCCATTAGGGAAAACTTCTAATACATTGTTAGTTTTGGTCTTATTATACGTAAATATTTATGACCTTACACATTAGATATGTATATGGTTAGAATGAAAAGACAATATGGTTTGATGCGAAGAGCTTAACTAAAAGTTTAAAACTAATAGTTGTTTTGAAGAAATCAGATTTCTGGAATATTATCTTGTCATTGATAAAGGGGTTAAACCCTCATTTATACACAAACTAATACATAAAACAGGAAAATAGAAATAAAGTATCCTAAAAGCAAATAAACCATATCCTAAATATATCTAACACTAACACTTGTCATATAATATTGATTTAGATCTTTATATAAAAGAAATCTCCAAATTTGGTTTGTTAGTTTTGTGGATTGTTTTTTGTAATTCTTATTAAATTAAGTTTCAGGTTTGAGACAGAGTTTATTGAAGAAATCATGAAGGACATCTACCGTAGATTACATATACCATTACGGAGTGTTCGGCCACTACTTCTCGGGATGGACTATTCCATTAACTTCATCGCTTCATGGTTGAAAGATGGATCCTCACATACGACTGACATACTCACTATTTCGGGTATAGGCGGAATCGGGAAGACATCTTTAGCCGAACATGTCTATGGGCTATATTGGCGTGAATTCCACAAAAGCAGCTATATTGAAGATATCACTAGGAGATGTGATGGAAAGTATATTGGGCTGCTTGATATACAAAAACAACTGTGTGGTGATATTTCAAAAACAAGTTCAATTCAAATTTATGATGTTTCAAAATACACATCAATGATAGAGAATGCAGTAGCTCGTAAAAGGGTGTTTATTGTTCTTGATGATATCAATAGTATTGATCAGTTGGATGCATTACTTGGAAGCAAAGGTTTTCATCCTGGAAGCAAGGTTATAATAACCACAAAGGACAGATGCTTGACAGAGAGTTGTGCACTATTCAAAACAAACATTAAACCCAAACATGTAGAACACTTACTTGAAGGCTTAGATGAGACTGAATCACAAAAACTTTTGTGTTCCCATGCATTCATGTGCAACCACCCCAAGGAAGGTTATGAAGAGGTGTCAGATAAGCTTGTGGAGTATTGTCAAGGACATCCATTGGCTCTTGAAGTTTTGGGCAAACTTCTTCATAATCGAGGTGTGGCGTATTGGGAAGGGTGCATGAAAGGGCTAAAGAAAGAAACAAATGATCGTATAAATAATGTCTTGAGAATGAGCTTTGACTCTTTGCCATCCAAAAACGATAAGGACTTGTTTAAGCATATTGCTTGTTTTTTTGTTGGAATAGATAGAGATCTTAGCGAAACAATATTAGAGGCATGTGACATAAACACGAGATCCGGAATCACGAATCTCATTGACAGATGTCTTCTTAGTATTGGATCGAATAATGAATTGAAGATGCATCAGTTGGTTCAAGAGATGGGAAGATTCGAAGTACATCAAGAATCACCTGATAAGCCATGGAAGCGAAGTCGATTATGGTGTCATAAGGAGTCACTCAGAGTGTTGAAACGAAAAAAGGTAAGAAGTCATTATGCTTTTAGTAGTGTGCACGTCCAAAATACTTTGTATTGCCTAATTTGTTTATTTGCATTCTGTTTCTTCTTAGGGTAAGGGAAATCTTCTAGGCCTTGCCCTTGACATGCGCATGCTTGAGAAAGAGAAGTTGGGAGCATCGTATGAGCTGAAAACAGATGCATTAAGTAACATGGATAATTTGATGCTACTACAACTCAATTATGTGTACATGCATGGGTCTTATGAGAACTTTCCAGAAGAAATAAAATGGTTGTGTATGCATGGGTTTCGTTTAAAGTCTATACCTTTAGAGTTACCTATGCGGAATCTGGTTGCCCTTGACATGTCATATAGCAATATTGAATCATTTTTCGGTTGTTATAGCAATCCACAACGACTTGAGAAGAGGCAAAAGGTAAAGTTATCTTTCATGTATTAGTCATGCATGTGAGTTGATGAAATTCAATACAATACTAACTTATTTCCATTTTGTAGTTGGTTGGCTCGTGCTTAAAAGAGAAAAGGTTGTTTGGTTCACTGAAGATTCTTAATTTAAGTTTCTGCAAACAACTTCATAGTGTTGGTGACTTTGACCAACTCCCTGCACTTGAGAGGTTAATACTTAGGAATTGCATTGGTTTGGTTGATGTTTGTGAATCAATTGGGCAATGTGTTGAACTTATCTTCATCGATCTGAGTTACTGCAAGAAGCTTGAAAAACTTCCAAGAAATATAGGCATGTTAGAAAAGGTTAAAACAATGTTGCTAGATGGTTGTAATCTTGGTGAATCTCGAATCAAGAATATGGATATGGATTCACTGGAAATGTGCACGGTTGCCAACATTGGCATAAACAAAGCCTTTGTGGGTGCTATACCACGTGATTTGAAGTCCTCTGAAATGTCTTTACCGTGGTCTTTAGTAACGTTGTCTCTTACAAAGAACAAGTTGTCCAATGAATTCTTTCCCTTGGACTTCAGTTGTCTATCCATGTTAAAGGAATTATATTTAGATGGCAATCTTTTCAATTCCATGCCTAGTTGTGTGAGAACCCTTCCTAGACTTGAGATACTTAGTATGAATAAGTGTAAAAATTTGAAGTCAGTCGAGTATCCTCCACGTACACTAAAAGAGTTGTTTCTTAATGCTAGTGATGATTATCATACAGACAAAGTTGTATTTGTTCCAGAAATGTCCCCACTCCGGTTATCAATAGGCTGGTTAGACCGGATGTGTTCGTCACTTGGGTTGAACGATTACGAAATTGAAGGTGTGGTCAAAATCCAACCAATGGCGAATGTTGAAGAAAAGGTATTACGTAGCTTGGGCTGGACTAATTGAAGGTTTGTCTAGTTAACTTAACTGTATGTGTTTATTTGAAGACATATAATTTACTTATTATGGTGGTTTGTATTTGGCAGATGATGACTTATGAATTTGGAATATTCAGCACGGTTTATGAGGCAGAGGAGATGCCAAGTTGGTTTAGTTATAGAAGCGTGGGGCCGTCAATATCATTTACCATCCCATCGTCATCATCTCCAAACAACCTCCTTACAGGGCTCAACTTCTGCTCTCTGCACACATTAAACCTTCTTGATGAACCTTTTATAGATTATGATTTTTTCCCTTGGAAGCCAATGATGACAATTACTAATATAACAAAAAACCATATGTGGATATATGAACGTTTAGATGACAAATTTAGTGAATCTCTGAATTGTTGGGTGATGTTAAGTCATTGGATGTTTGGGAAGAATGAAATGGAGGCTGGTGACCACATTACTATCACTGTTACACCGCAGAGGCGTGAACTTGATCCATATTATGAACTTGTAAAGGAGTGTGGGGTGAGTCTTGTGTATGATGAAGGAGAGATGAAGGATGAAGAAGAAGATGTGTTGGGTTATTACAAGTCATGGAATCACATAATTGGTGGAGATCTCTCTCCTTTTCAAACAACTACAGGACAATACATCTTAGACAACGGACGGTTTTTTCATCGTGCTGTTAGAGTTTATTCATATCATCGTAAATTCGTTCCAGACGGCCCCAGATGGCAAGGTAGATGTCATTTATTAAAATATTTTATTGTCATGACCCAACTTCTTTAGAAAGATGGATAATGACCCATTTATTTTTAGTACATAAATAAATGTTTCATATAACCCAAATCCACCCACCCATTTATCATTCATTTTATTGAACTCAACTATAAGAGTTTGTTCTTGTAAAATATGACAAATCAAATTTTTACAACAGATTTTTTTCTTCCTGACATTAGAGTGTTTCCCTATCTTCGTAAATTAGTTGCACATAGCCCTGCCCTCACTGTCAAGATAGATGTGATTTTAGATAAATATTCTTTGAATAGATGGATAATGACCCATTTTTTTAGTAGATAAATAAATGTTTCATATAACCCAAATCCACCCACCCATTTATCATTCATTTTATTGACCTCTACTATAAGAATTTGTTCTTGTAAAATATGACAAATCAAATTTCCCTATCTTCGTAAATTCATTGCACACGCCCTGACTGTCAAGGTAGATGTGATTTTTGATAGATAATGACCCATTTTTTCGGAGATAAATAATTTTTTCACGCCCAAATCCACCCATTTATCGTTGACGTTATTGATCTCCACTATAAGAGTTTGTTTTTATAAAATATGAATAATAAAGTATCTACCTTCTGCCTTTTAAATAAATCGACCCAAGTAGTGATCCGTTTGAATGAGTTTATGTTAACCGATTAAGTCTTGATATGTTGGATCACATAAATATATCAGGACGCAATACAAACTACTTTGTCCAAGTTGATGTTTGTGAATAATAATTAACACATAACTTATTATCTGTGTTCAGTACAAAAGGAAAAGTATTGGTTCAAAGCTTTATCCCCAACGAAGGAAGGCTGACATAGTTGGTCGAGCATGTAAGGTATACTTTTTGACACCCAAACCTTTCTCTCATTACATGAATAAAGGGCATACAGATCCAAGAATGTTATATATCATATCTTTGATTGGTTTAGGATGTAAAATGATAAAAGGAGTCATAATCTTGCAATCGATGCTTGGAAATGACAATATCAAAATGTGGTTGGCCTGATATGATATGAATTTGTCTAATTTTCTCTACCTATTTAATCTTAGAGTCGGGAATTACGGATCCCTATTTCCTCCATTTAGGGCTCTAAATTCAGGGTTTTTAGTTGTTATCAAGTTCTTTTGGTTTATTTATTTATGTTTGTTTTTATGTCAAATACATGATATCTTAAGCTATTCTTGTCAATTATTGTCAAATACATGATAACTTCTTTGTAAGAAAATCCAAAATTTCATCACATTTTTTGGAACCGAACTTTCCTCAGCCCTTATTTCTGGTTAAGATACAACAAATGCACAGGGGTTCAGTTCATAGTTTGTATTTCCTCCAATAAACTTTATATAACCTTGAACTATTATTTGACTACCAGAGGTCATTAAATTCCCTTAATCATTGGCAATGGTCCACCACATTGTATTGGACTTTAACCAATAAGTTTTTAGTGTTATGTTACTTCTCCATGAACATCATGTATTTATTCCTAAGATCTTTAGATTACAATTATCACTGTTTACATTTGACCTCCAAGAATAGACATAAATTTAATATTTATCTTTTTTCACTTGAAGCCTTTTCAACTTGCTATAACAAGCAAGGGTTTCTGTTACATGTCTCCACAGCTGATGCTTTAAAATTGTTTTATTGTAGTCTTCTATTTTTATAGACATGTTTTAAAATTGTTTTATTGCTTTAAAATTTTTAGTGTTATAACAATTTATCTTTTCAGTTTTTGTTTTTGATAGCTGTCTATTTGATTGCCAAAAACAGAGGAAAAGAGTATAAATGGTTTTTTAGTTGATTAAAACACGTGTAAAGTCGTAATGTTGTTTTTATTACTTTATATGTTTGTTATTTTGTTGATTTGGTTCATGTGATTGAAAGAAAAGACTAAAATGTGATCGCTAATCACAAATCCTATAACCCACAAAAAAACAAAATGTTCTCATAAAGACTCGTTAAATATTCGTAACGGTGAAAAAACAGAGAGAGAGAGAGAGAGAGAGAGAGAGAGAGAGAGAGAGAGAGAGAGAGAGAGAGAGAGAGAGAATGTTGAAGATTAGAGGAGGGATGGTGGGGTGTTGGGTTTATTTGGCTTTTTTTAAACTAAAGTTAGTTAGAAAAAAGTGAATGAAATTAAAAAGTGTATAAATGTAATTTTATATGAGTCAAGGATCAAGGATGCAATAAAATTGAAACCACAAGGACCATTCGCGTAAAAAAGTCTAGGGACTAAATCTGTGATTTTTGTAAACCACAGGGACCATTTAATCAATCCTTTCTTCTTTTTCGTGCAACATTGTACTTCAATTTTTCTTATTAAGACATTGTACTTTGAAAGATCTACCTAATTATAGCATTGTACTTCCAGTTTATCTTTTCTTATTAGGGCGACATAATATTAAAAAAAAATCTCCAATAACAACATTGAAAATTAATTTTTATTCGAATGACAATACTTTGATAAATTTTCAATGTACATTGTTGCAATAGGAAGAACCTAGAAGCATAATGCTAGAATAAACATATAAATAGCCCTAAAATGTTTGTAACAAACGGTCAAACATGACCTGAGGCACTACAATTACAACTGGAACCCAAAACAACAAAGCTACTCCAATTTCTCAAGGGAGTATCATGAAGTGGTTTACTACTCTACTCATGTATATAACATATACAACGCTGACCATTTGTAATGTCAATCTCATAACAATCAAAATGACCCATACACCCATGTTGACTGTGGGACCTGTTAGCGGTTGAGTGCTCAGGGGTGATATATATACCATTAGCAATCTCATACTCATAACAATCAAAATGACCTACATGCCCATGTTGACTGTGGGACCCGTTAGTGGGTGAGGGCTCACGGGTGATCTATACCACAATTATAAATACTCACCCAAAAACCAACTAAATCCATGATACAAAAAGCATCCATAGCCCACAATCAAAGACCTCAAAACGATCTAAATTTGCACTCAGCAACCAATTTAGATTGTGGTATTCAATTTTCTCAAGCACACATACAAATAGCAAACGATTTTTTTTTCCTTTTTAGTCAAGATAGTCCATTCCCTATATCTTAGCATAGCAATATCATACATCCTTTGAACCCTAGGAAGCTAATATGTTATAACTATGAATCCCAGATCATTTAGTCGCCCCAAAAGTTGGAGAATGTTTTTTAATCACTCATTTAAACCCTTGATTGATGGAAGCAAAGTTTATACTAATTACTTCTTTGCTCTGTGGTGATCCTCTTAATTTCTAAAAAAAATTGGTTTTTTTTGTTTTTTTTTTCGAATATAGGAAAAGGAATTGGATTTCGAAAACCAGATGGCGAATAACACTAGCAGTTGCCAGAACTTACACAGACAAGCAATTTATTGTTGAGATGTAGATTGTAGAGTCTCCGACATGAATTACATATCCAGATCTATAAGAGCCACTTGAGGATGTCAAGTTGACTTCTGGAGCATAGTTTTCGGCCAAGGTTGTGGTGTTACAATTACAAGGAGCATGAAACGATGAGTATATAGTTTTGTGTTATTCACTTGACCTCCAGCGACATGAGAGGGAATAGGTATTCTGATCCGTTTTCCGGCATAGACTTCGTTGACTTATAAGAATTTTCTAATGAGCTTTGTTTACGTTTGCCTCCGGCCAAGAGTAAAGTGACAAGTTCAATCCTATTTCTAACAGAGACTATGAACTGCGGTGGTTTATGAGAATATCGTAAGACTCTGACGAGAGAGGCATGGTTTGGAAAGGAGAGATCATGTTTTTTCCGGTAAACCACATAATAACGGTAGTCGGTTTATTGTTGCCACCGGAGCAGTGTACCCGAACAAGAGGAGATCGTGTGGTTGAGCGACATCTGGTAACTTAGGTGATGGGCTCAAATTTTCTTTTTATTGAAAGATCTGTTATTGGGCTTAAGTTATTGGATTAAATAAAGTAGTTGTTAAACTAAATAATACCTATATCGGGCTAACTACAACTGAATTGGCTTTGGGCTTTTATAAGTTTATAAGATTTTCTAAATGTTTGAACTGAAATCTATATAGCTTTAAATAACTACTAAATGTTAATTTTTCTAATTGATGTCCAAGTCGATACCATTATATATATATATATATATATATATATATATATATATATATATATATATATATATATATATATATTCCATGTACAAATTATAAAATGAATCTAATTATCAGAATTTAGGTGTGAAATGTATTATGAACATCTTCCGAAGTATTATCATTAACATGATCTATTGTTTTAAACTTCTAATATTTAAAAACATCTGTGTATAAAAAACTTGTATGAAAATTGTGTAAAGTGTAAAAAGAAGTTTTTGAAAAAAGTTATAAAACAAGTTTAACGACTTTTTAAACCAAAGTATTTATAAATGTTTTGAATTTGTATTTAAAAAAAATATTTTTAAAAAGTTATTTGGAAGTTGTATGAAAGGGGAAAAAAATAATTAGGAGGGAATTTATAACATAAAAATGTTTGGACTATATTCGTAAAAAAAATTCAAAGTTTTGACGATTCCTAATAAAATTTAAAACCTAAGGTAAAAATGTAAAATTGAGATGTGAGGTGTGATAGTAGGTAGAGAAACAAAAAGTCAAAAACACATTTCGCTACATCTTCATAATATTTTTTAAATTTGTTAGTAAGTAGATGTGGGGGGGGGGGGGGGGGGGGGGGGGATTTGAAATACACCTGATTTTAAAGTAAAAAAACCATTTTAAAGGTCAAAAAAACCACTTTGACTTTAAGTAACCCAATTTGATGGGATTTTAGATAATGATTACTTATTAAATTGAGATATTCAATTCTCTTTATATAATCGAGACATAGTGAGTAATCGGTGTTGTTATACCAATTTATTAAAACTTTCATTATAACCCTCTAACATATACTAAATTTATAATTATGTGGGATTTTAGATAATGATTGTGGGACCCATTAGTGGGTGAGTGCGCAGAGGTGATATATACCACATCTAAGAATACTCACCCAAAAACTAACTAACTCCATGATACAAAAAGCATGCACATCCCACAATCAAAGACCTCGAAACGATCTAAATTTGCACTCAACAACCAATTTGGATTGTGTATTTCAGTTTCTCAAGCACATATACAAACAACAAACGACTTTTTTCCTTTTTTAATCAAGATAGTCCTTTCCCTGTGTCTTAGCATAGCAATGCCATACATCCTTAGAACCCTAAGAAGCTAATCTGTTATAATTAACTATGAATCCCAGATCATTCAATTGCCTCAAAAGTTGAGAATGTTTTTTAAATCACTCATTTAAACCCAAACCCAACCCTTGATTGATTGAACGAAGTTTATACTAATTACTTCTTTGCTCAATGGCGATCCTATTAATTTCTAAACAAAAATTGGGTTTTTTTGTTTTTGAACATAGGAAAAGGAATTGGATTTCGAAAAACAGATGGCGAATAACGCTAGCAATTGCCAGAACTTACAAAGACAAAAGCAATTTATTGTTCAGATGTAGATTGTAGAGTCTCCGGCCAAGAGTAAAGTGACAAGTTCAATCCTAATTCCAACAGAGACCATGAACTGTGGTGCTTTATGAGAATAGAGGCATGGTTTGGAAAGGAGAGATCATGTTTTTTTTTCCTGGTAAACCACATAATCACCGTGGTGGATTTATTGCCGCCGCCGGAGCAGTGTAGCTGAACATGAGGAGATCTTGTGGTGAAGCGACATCTCGTAAATTAGGAATGGGCTCAAATTTTCTTTTTTCAAAAGATTAGGAAACGTATTGAAAGATCTCTTATTGGCCTTAAGTTATTGGACTAAATAAAGTGGTTGTTAAACTAAATACTACGTATATTGGGCTAACTACAACTAAATTCCAGACTTTGGGTTTTTATAAATTTATAAGATATTCTAAATGTTTGAAGTGAAATCTATGTAGTTTATAATAATTGCTAAATGTTAATTTTTCTAAATATATCCCTCGGGTAGATTGTCTAAGTCATACCATTATATATGTTACATGCACAAATAATAAATTGAATCTAATTTAACTTATTTTTAATTACCATAGTGAGAATATATAAAACATATCATAAGAATATTCATCATTCGGGATTATTAGCTTGATCATTTATTTAGTTGACCAATAGTTTTAAATGAATGGTAACCATTAAGTTTGTTCTTATTTAGATGGACCATATAATTAAATTAATTAAACAAAGATAAGTATTATTGAGACCAATAACTAAATTAAGGTAGACAAAATTGTAAAAATGGTCGGTTTTTCATTTTATGTGGCTAAGGTCCAAACTTTTAAAAAGTTGTTGATTTGGTTCTTTCCAACATGTTTTGTTGTGGTTTTAGTCCCTTGTCTGTTAACTTTAATAGTTTTGCTGTTAAATTTTTTAAAATGACTATTTTACTCGCAGGATTTATTTCTGCAACCAAACTACAATGATCATTTCTACATATCTTCTTTTTATTTTTTCTAAATTTTTATATATTAATAAATGTTGTTTTAATATATATTATTTATATATTAATAAGTATTGTTTTATTAGATTATTAATTTCTTTAAATTAATTTTTTAAAATTTCTTTGTTATCGAATATTTTAATTGGATTATTATATATGAATCAATATTACTTTTAATATATACTATTTATATATTAATAAATATTATTATATTGTATTATTAATTTATTTTAGTTAATTTTCTTTATTGGAGTAATTCTTTTTTATTGGATTATTATATATTAATAAATATTATTTTTAATTTATAATATTGATATCCTAATAAATAATACATTATCAAATTATTAATTTCTTTTAATTAAAATTTTTAATTCCTTTTTTTGAATTAACTCCTTTTTATTTGAATATTACTTTTAATTTATTATTTTCTTTATATAATAAATAATATCTACTATATTATTAAATTATTTTTATTGTATGATATTAATTCTTTTTACTTTTGTTAGTTCCACCACAAAGTTGTTAGAATACACAAAAGCACCGACTCTCATCAACGAAAATCGTCGGGATCACCGCCAAACACCTTAATCGGAGGTTCGACGTAAACCCTATTAACTTTTTTCCACTAGTAACCACCTACGACAACCTCTTCACAACCAATTGGAATCCTCCATATCCCACACAATGTGCAACAAACTCTTATAAACATTAAAAATGGTGGTGGTGATCAAGTGATGGTAGTGGTGTTATCGCAAATGACTATCATCCTCGTTGGTTGGAAAAGGTTGGTGAGTTTCTGTCCGACCTCCGGTAAAGATGTATTGTGGTGATCTCGACGATTTTCGATGACGAGAGACAACGCTTTTGCATATTCTGACGACTTTGTAGTGGAACTAATAAAATGAAAAAGAATTAATAGTATACATTAAAAATAAACTAATAATCTAATAATCCAACAAAATAGTATTTATTATATAAAGAAAATAATAAATTAAAAGTAATATTCAAATAAAAAAATTATTCGAAAAAAGAAATTTAAAAAACTTAACAAAAGAAATTAATAATCCAATAATATAATATTTATTAGGATATAAATATTATATATTAAAAATAATACTTTTTAATATATAATAATCTAATATAAAAGAATTACTCCAATAAAAAATTATTTAAAATAAATTAATAATCCAAAAAGTACTTATTAATATATAAATAGTATACATTAAAATTAACATTTATTAATATATAATAATCCAGTTAAAATTCCAATAATAAAAAAATTAAAAAAGTTTAATTAAAAGAAATTAATAATCTTATAAAATAATATTTATTAATTTATAAATGTTATATATTAAAAATAACATTTATTAATATATAATAATTCAAGAAAAATAAAAAAGAAGATACGTGGAAATGGTCCTTGTAGCTTCGTTATAAAAATGGTCCGAACATTTATTCATATATAATAATCCAATTAAAATTCCAATAATAAAAAAATTTAAAAAGTTTAATTAAAAGAAATTAATAATCTTATAAAATAATATTTATTAATATATAAATGTTATATATTAAAAATAACATTTGTTAATATATAATAATTCAAGAAAAGTAAAAAAGAAGATACGTGGAAATGGTCGTTCTAGCTTCGTTATAAAAATGGTCTGTGAAGGTAAAACAATCAATTTAAAAAGACAAAACTGCACAAATGGTCTCTGTGGTATATCGAAAATTGCCACTTTGGTCCAAAAATGTTTGGACTAGCACCAAAGGTCTAAAGTTTTCATTTTGGTGCGAGTTTGGTCCAAAAATTTTGAAACTTTTTATAATGACGGATTTGCCCCTGCTAATATGATTTTATCTTTTTTTTCTTAATTATTTTTCTAATTTTCAGCTTTAAAAAAAACAAGAAAATAAAAATGAAAACAAAACCCACCCCTACTACCACACCCACCCACTATCTCTTTAACATATATATATATATATATATATATATATATATATATATATATATATATATATATATATATATATATATATATATATATATATATATATATAAAAGTTCAAATGAAGACAGTAAATAAAGTGAGGACGTGAAGACACTACTTTTATGTTATTATTCTGCCATGAATCTTCTATATACTGTCTTATGTCTTTATTCGGTAATGAATATATGAATAATCATACGCCAAATATTCACATTAGAATTACAAAATGGAACATATATGTAAAATTACTAGCAGAATAATAACATAAAAGTAGTGTCTTCACGTCCTCACTTTATTTACTGTCTTTATTTGAACCATGCCCTATATATATATATATATATATATATATATATATATATATATATATATATATATATATATATATATATATATATATATATATATATATATACTAGGGGAAATGACACAAATGTCCAACGATGTTTCTAGGGTTAGTCCATTTAGTCCCTAAGCTTTTTTTGTTGCTTTATAGGGACATAAGGTGGATCTTAACCGGTTTGATTTGTAAAGTCTCTATTCCTTGGTAATCAAAGCCCAAAGATCTACGAATTAGCCCATGCTTAACTAGCCAAGCTTCTTATTTAATCCCTTGAACCTAGAATAGCCAGTTTTATATGTCACGTAATCAATTCAATATGATGTGGCTCTTGTAGTCTTGCTACAGTAACATTAACATATTTACTCCTTCCCCTTTTATCTACTTCACCTTAAAGAAGCCCTTCAGAACCTGGACTTGGTGGTCTTTGGTAATTAGAGAACTCGATTTCAAGGGGAACATTGTTGACAAATGTCAATAACTCCTTTGAAATTCCAGATTAAACCAACTTAGTATTTGCGATTTTAGAGTTTTCTCCATTGATGACTTCTTAGTGTTCTTGTTTCATATTTCAGATTTCACTCAAATCTAAGCTTATGAAATCGGTTTTATGCACTAAAATTGGTTTCGATTGTTACAGTTGAATTAATTTTTGTATTTCCTATTAATTTTTTTGATAACCAAAATCTCTGGATCGATGATACATTTTGTTCTTCCTGTGATTGCTTTTCAAAAAACAAGTTCATACGTTTGTTTTGATAACGGAAGCAGACTCCTTTCAATTTATCGATTTTTAGGTTGTATGGATTGAGGTTCGAAATTCATATAACAACTTCATTAGCATCTCGATGGTTAATTGATGAAATTATTTATGGGTTCTTTCAATGGTTCTTGAACGGTGTTGTAATAATTCAGAATTGGGGACAAAATAGCTTGAGGGGCATCTTAGGAAAGTTACCTTTTTATGCCGTTTTTGTGTTTATTTAGGATTCTGTTAGTATAAATAGGGATAATGTTTATGTTAATTTCATTCAGTTTTCATACGTTAAAGCTAATATACTTGCAGTTGAAGTAAATTCCCAAAATTTCATTTTTCTTCTCTTGTTCTTGTTCTTGCACTGTTCCTCTTTCATTCGATTTTATCCGTTTTGTGATTCCTTTGTTCTGGTGCTTTGTTTGTATGATATTCTCATAGAATCAAGAGAATTGATTCTCAAATAACACTTCTGTCCGGTTAAAGCTTTTTCATTCTTTAGAATCAAGTGAATTAATTATGCATAATATCATTCTTAAAGAATCAAGCAAGTTTGATTACAACAGAGGGACTTTCGAATTCTGTTGACCGGTTTTTCCTTGGTTTTGAGTTTCGTTCGATTTGATGGAAAATGAAGATACGTCAAAATTATTTTTTGTAAAAGCTAAGATCCCAGTAACAAGAAAGTAGAAATTAGCGACAATGATTTTGGGAGAAATGCTATTGGTGTGTACTTTGTTAATCTCACATAATTATCGGTGTAATCAGAACATGACAACATGATTTTGATGTTTACTAATGTGTATCAGGTAACATGTAACATGATTGAGGAATATGAGATGGGGAAGAAGATGAATAGTACTAGGTTAAGGAATAATTGGTCAACAAACATCTGATGTGGCAAAGGGGTAACCGGATGACCCCTTCATTTTGCCCAAAAGGACCTAATCGACCCGACAAAATGTAATTCATTCCCTTATAAAGCCATAAAATAAGTTAAGTGGCTAAATGGATAAATCCTAGAAAGTTTATAGAGCATATATGTAATTTTCCCTATATACTACCCATCTCTTGTCACTGAAAACCACCGCCTCCTGCCAAAAACCACTGTCACCCGCATTCCGGTGCCACCCTCTCTCTCTCTCTCTCTCTCTCTCTCTCTCTCTCTCTCTTTCTTTTATGTTGTTTTTATCACCTTCTTTATATCTTTGTGTCTCTTTTGCTGCTATAATTGTCAGAGCACTCAAAATGCTTGTTGAAAGGAGGGTTCAGATCTACTGTTTGAAAACCCTAATCGGCCGGTGGTGGTGGTGGTGGTATTTACAGATATGGAAAATAGAGAAGACGGAGGGACGTCTCCGATGGTGGACAAACCGAGAAAGGTATCGAACGAACTACGACCGTCGGAGTAGGACCAAAAGATCGTGGTGGAATCTAAATTTGTTCATCGGACGAAGACGATGGCGTTGTCCTCCTTCCCAAACGACGAAGACGATGTCGATATCCACCATTAGAGATGTGCAACTGTCTTCCCCGACGAAGTGTTGGTCGATGAAAGGTTTTCTGACAGTGCCAGATATGTTCATTACCAGCGAGAAGGGCCTGGCTAGGGCCGTTGCAGCGTCGTTGACTTATGTGTCTCAATTTTCTAGCTCCGATCTGTGTTTGTGAAGGATTGAGCAACCCGTTGCTAGGTGGCGAAGATGTGGATCCGAGTGTTTCTTTTTCGTTGGATCTGTGTCTCTTCATCTCCAACCTATGTCACTCTTCATCTCCTTAGTTTCAGTTATGTCTTTTCATCTCCTTCCTACCGGCGACAACTTCAACTTCAACTTCAGGTGGTGGTGGTTGTGCTACCGGTGGTGGCTTCTGGTGGTAGTGGTAGTGATTGTGCTTCACCAGTGATGTTGTGTTAAGTGATTGATGTTCACAAAAATAAAAAAGGCAAATAAAGGGGATGGTGTTTACATTTTCTTTTTTTAATAAATAAAATTAATAAAAAACTAAAAAAGAAAATACCAAGGGAAAAGAAGTCTAAACAAAGTTGTAAAATGGTAACCGTAAAAAAGGAAATAAAGAATTATGAGCGAATTTATAACATAAAAAGCGTTTGGATTATATTTGTAAAAAAATTCCAAGTTTTGAGGATTCCTAATAAAATTTAAAACCTAAGCTAAAAATGTAAAATTGAGATATGAGCTGTGATAGTAGGTAGAAAAACAAAACTCAAAAACATAGTTGGCTATATTTTCATATTATTTTTTATATTTGTTAGTACAGATGGATAATCGCAGGGTTCTGCAACGTCCTCCAACTCGCTGTCTGGTCATTTTGACTTTCTATGCGGGACAAGCTGAAGACTTCATCAATTGACCTTTTCTCCAAAAAAAAAACAATTTAAGCCCTTTAATATTAACCCTATTATAAAATTTGCACTGCCTTTTTCAATTGACTTCTTCTCCTAATATGTTTACTTGAAAGAATAAAAGGAAAAGCAACACCTCTGATTCCTGAAACCATTTGATCTGTAGATTTCAGTCATCTTCTTTCTCAGCTTCGTCACTGTTGGTTCATCCTCTATATATCATCGCTGCTTCAGGTCTCCTTTTCTTCCTGTAGGCAGGTAACTATATATGAAGCCACATTCTTACAAGTTAGTTTCAGATATTGTTTGACAATTTCCACTAGTGCAGAATGATGAACAGAAGTTCTTGCACAATGGGAAATTCTTCAACCCTTCAAAATTGCCTCTTAAATTCCTTTATATTTTCTAATCTATAAACACGATTTTTTTTTTTTCGTTTAATTCTTTTTAAAGGATGTTATCTGATCCATAATTGTAAGCTAGACCTTCGTAATGAACAAGCTTCAATATTTGATTTTTCAAAATGGGTGTTTAACTTTGAACTTTCATCTAGTATAGAGTTTGAAATTGAACCCTTTTGTTAGTTTCATAAACATATCATATTAACAAACCTACGAATTTTAGTTGATGAAATCCTTCAAATATGATGATACTAGATCTAGTAATAGAAAATTTAAAATTTAAAAAGGTTGTTGCTAATTTTGGGGACCTGTATGTCTAAAAACTTTTTTTGCCGTTTGGATCTTCAAATTACTTGGTTGTTGATATTTAGTGAAAGCTTGAAATTGCCTATATCTTATGCAACGCCTTTCATGGGAGGCAATTGTGGATCTTGTAGTTTTATGGAGAATGGTATTTGGTGTAGATTTGTTGATATTTAGTTAATTAAATCAAAATAGGAACGTGCACTCAAAACAACCGAGTTTAGCACTAATTAAACTATGAATGGCCTCTGAACACAAAATATTAAATCGACGTTTAAAACACACATATAAAAATTATGCAATATATAGCTCCAACATCAACTCTAAACTCAAGGTTTGGGGATAAATATTGGCATATTAACACAATTAGAGTTCATATAATGAGATTTAAACATTTTCTAGGCGTATTAGTTCACAAGGAAAAGTTTGGAGATGCATATGTATTGTATTTTAACACTACTAGAAACATGAGTTTTAGAGACGGACGAATCCGTCTCAAATCCGTCGCTAAATATCATTTGCGACGGATCAACCACAAACATACTCCATAGCGAATTAAAGGGTGGCTAATAACATAGCGAGGGATTTAGCGATGGATTAGTTTTCTCTTGCGACAACCTTAGCGACAGAATATCCATAGCAAAATGGCACTTAATACTGTTGTTTAGGACATTGGCGACAAAACCTAATAACAACATTCTGTTGCTAATCCCTTGCAAACCTCTATATCTGTTTTTTTTTAATCCGTCGCTAATCCCTCTCAAACTTTAGATGTGATTTTTTTTTTCTTTCCTTCGATGATCTCTCGCAAATTTAAGATGTCATTTTTTTTTCTTTCCGTAACTATTCCCTTGCAAATAGATAATATCATAGTTTTGTTTGTTTTGAATCTAAAACAAAATAATACCAAAAAATCAAATAATTATATAATCCCAAAACAAATATTAACATTTAAATACCAAAAACATCCAATGATTATGCAATCCAAAACCAAACTTTAACATTAAAATACAAAAAGAATCTAACCATCAAAGTTTACCAAAACATCCATAAACATCAAATATCAAAGTTCAACATTGATTGATATTTGATTTCAAAGTATAATGTACGATAATTCTAAATTTCCTCTCATATTTTGCATTTCCGCTTACACCTTCTCCATTGTTTGATATCTTGCGTCCAAAAGAAAGATCAGAATGGAATTGGATTCCAATTCCCATTCAATCCCATGGAATTGGGAGAACCAATTTCCACTTAGTTTTTCCTGCAATGGAAGGAGACTTGGTTGCTTGATGTCTTCATGCTTTTTGCTAGATTCAGGGTCTTTGTTGGAAGCAATGCTTTTCTGTTGATGAAAAAGAGATTAGTGTCTACTCATTTGAAACCAAATGCGAGACTGGAATGGAATTAAATTCCGATTCCAACCAAAAAGCAAATACACATAAACATAAACATCAAATTTGTAATCTCTTAAACATAAACATGAAATTTGTCTTGCCATGGGCCCTTCTTTGATTGCATGCAACCGCCTTTATCAACTAAAATTTGAGTTACAAATACACGTAACAAGATGTATGTTCTAAGGGTCATTGCTTAGATGGAATGGAATGGACAAAGGAATGGAATGAACAAGGTAATATAAGGCAAATAATAAATTTGAGGTTTGATCCGGAAAAAAACACAAAATATAAGGACTTTTATGAGATTAACCCTAAAAAGAATTTCATTGAGCATAGTATTAAAACCCAAATAACTTTACAATAAAAACAACAGTTTTTTAGTTATATTCATACCAAAATTTGTAATTTAATGAAAATATAAAATATAAAAATACCTGGCCTTTGATGATTCTTCCAGCACGATCATATTCAACTTCTCTTTCACTTTGGCCCAATAAAAGCTCTCTTGGAAGAGCCTCGTCAGCAGCTACATTCCCATATTTCTCAACAATTCTTATACAACAATTCAGCTTGTGAAGGAGCAGCTTGCATATGGACATCATTGCCCTTCTCAAATGCTTCCCATGGATGTATGTTCAGTTCCTTGAACTCCAATGCTTGTCCACTTACTCTATTCTGGTTATCCCCCTGCAATTCAACAACATATAATAATATTAATTTTTGAGAAAATATTTATAATAAATAAATAAAGATAAATCAATAAAGATTATTACTCACAGCATAGAACTTCTCATTTGGATCCATATCCGGAAGCGGATCCTCACGCATGGATCGAGTTTTCAGATCATAATGTGCAGAGTTTACATCAAGATTCAGAAGGTATTTTGTTGTATCTTCTCGAATTCGCAGATTCCTGAACATAGGGGTAAAAAAGGAATTACAAATGTAAAATCTTGGATGACAAAAAGTTTCTAAATATTTTTATTGACTCACCTAATAGTACCCGTGCTACCACCACCTGTAGTCCTGACACGTTTTTCCACATTTGCAAAATCCATCTGCTTACTCTCATCAACTTTGGCTTCATCAACTTTCAATGCATCTTCATTATCTTCATCATCACTAACAGCTTCTTCCACATTTTGAGTGTTACCCTTTTCCTCTAACTTCTTAAGTTGTTGATCTTTCAAGAATTTCTTTCTAGCTTCATCACGAGCTTCATATCGTTCAATCACATGAGCATAATATGTTGCATCATACCCATTCCACCTGTCTCTTTTTCCATCATAATCAAGCTCAAAAGTCACTATTTTCTCATCAGGTGCTATGTTTTTACTTGTCCATTTTGCCCCTAGCTTACGTGGCCTCTCCATGCATGTCTTGGTTGTGTGTTTCATAGCTCCACAAATTAAAACAATTAACAAATTTAGCAATCAAGTTATAAAAACTAGAAAAGTAAAATAAAATTTGCTTACTTTTCGCATGCACCCTTTCTGTACTTATCAGCTTGGTATATTTTTGCTCCTCTGTCATACCATGACTTTGTGTAATTGGGATCTGAATTCCATTTCCTTTGATGTTTTAAACTCTTCAGGACACAAAAAAGATGGTTTTACTTTTAGTTATATGGTTACATGATTAATGAGAATGCAAGAAAAAGAAAATGGAAAAAGGCGTACAGGTCTCTCTGCATTGAGATACCAAGGAGCAGATGACATATACTGAGGAATATGTGGATTAATTTCTTTTCCATCTTCATCAACTTCTACAGGAGCAAGCCCAGCTTTTCGGGCTTCTTCAAGTTCCATCTGTTTCCTGTGATCCTCCCTGGATTTGAAAGCCACTGCAATCAAAATGAAGATGGTGTGATTGGTGAGAAACTTATTTTCAAGTTAAAACAGACTCTTAATTTAGATTACATAATGGTAACAGTTTTAGGAGTTTTACATGATGAAGTTCTGATTTTCTTGTGAACCAATGAACATTAATCGTGTTCCCACTTCTATCCGAAGTGAATCCTACATGTAGCCGCTATAACAGGGGCAATTTAGTCTTTTAACTTGTTAGATAATAAAGTCAAATTGGTTACTATCACATACCTGATGAATATCTCCCATGAAATGAGAAAGAAAGAGCAGCGCTTCTGTGAGATTATCTGCAAATATATATATATATATATATATATATATATATATATATATATATATATATATAATGTTTTTCATCTTCAAAATTGATAAAATCTAGAAGCAAAGAATCAGATGAAGAAATTTGTGAAATTAATTACACTGAGATGTTTATTTGCCATAGTCGAGTAGCTGAGTGGTGTAGTTGTTAATTGCTCCGGCAACACATCTTCTGGCCACTCCATATATTCTTGTCGTTTTGACATTAAGCCCCTTGTCAAATGCCTACACCCGGTACCAAATTCATATCATACAAATTCATCCTGTGAGATTATTAAATTGTAATAGGAAAAACAAAATGTACGTCAACAACAAGAAAACCCTAGGAATACCAAAATTAAGGAGTTATGGAAGGCAGAGCTTAGAAAAACGATTTCTGATTTGATCTAAAATGAAAGAGAAGAAAGAAAGCTACATGAAAATAGAACTTATAGACAACCAGAAACCAGACTAGGAAGGTGATGAAGGCTAGAGTTTACGATAAATGATGAACCAATAGACCAATTGTTGTTGCAGGGAAACGGCGAGTCAACGAGGAAAGCATATGGACCGAGAGGAAAGCAAGAGATGATGTGATTTATGAGGTTTTCCTATACTTTTCAAGTATACTTCAAAGAGGGACGACGCAGGTGGACGGTGGTGGAGGTGATTTTCCGGGCGGAGGAGGAATTTGAGTCGACAGAGGTCGATTAGGGCTTTTGGAGAAAATTGTTTAGAGTTTGGGAATGAAAATAAAACGAGGGAAAGAAAAAAGAAAGAAAAGCGGGGAATGAAAAAAAAGGAGGCGTCCATTTCTGTGAGCGATTGGCGAGGGATGGGAAAAAAAGGCGTGTGATTTTTAGTAGTCCGTCGTTGTTCCCTCACTAAAATGTTTTAATTTGCAACGGATTAGCGAGAGACCGATTTTGTCGATAAATTCTTGCAATTCAGTTGTTGATCCCTCGGTAATACCTCTCTAAAAGTCTATAAGTATTTTGGTTGAAATATTTGTGCGTTCCGTCGCTGATCCCTCGGTAATTCGTCACTAATTAGCTACGGATAGAATCCGTAGCTAATTCCGTCGCTGAAGGTTATGTTTCTAGTAGTGTAATTAGCTAAAAGTTTAATTTTGAAGAATTCAAAGGTATTAATATTATTATTATTATTCCTATTAGCATTATTGAGGTTTAAATTCTTTGATGAGAGTTACGTTGCATATTGTAAATACTAATAATTTGGATTTTTTTTGTAGAGGCATTATGTACTGAGATCCTGACATTGAAGCACAAGTGAGGAAAGCCGGTGAAACCGACTTACATTATCAATAATCTGTGGGGGAGTTTCAAAGCTTACTTAGATATACCCTTAAGTTCAAATAAATACTCAAAATCGTGGGAAGGGTAAAGAGTCATCAACACATAACTCATAATGGTTGTTCTCTCTGAACTTCCAGAAGGATCTTCGTCTTTTTCATCAACTCATGGCCATAGTTCACTAACTCATGGTCATGATTCATCAACTCAGGATCATAGATATGATGTATTTTTAAGTTTTAGAGGTGTTGACACTCGTCTTCGTTTTACTAATTATCTTTATGAGGCCCTTATTGATGCAAACATCACTACCTTCTTGGATGATGAAGAGATTGATACAGGGGAAGATCTGAAACCAGAATTGGAAAGTGCAATTAAGGCATCTCGGGCTTCTATTATCATCTTGTCTAAGAATTACGCTTCTTCAACATGGTGCCTTGATGAATTGGTGCTGATCCTTGAGCAGCGTAGATTACATGTATCCTTACAGACGAAGTTTATTGAAGAAATTATAAAGGACATCTACCGTAGATTACATGTATCCTTACAGAGTGTTCGACTAGTACTTATTGGTATGGACTATTCCATTAACTTCATCACCTCATGGTTGAAAGATGGATACTCACTATTTATGGTATAGGAGGGATCGGTAAGACATCTTTAGCCAAACACGTCTATGAGATATATTCTTGTGAATTCCACAAATGCAGTTGTATTGAAGATATCAGTAGGATATGTGATGGAAAGTTTAATGGGTTGCTTGATTTACAAGAACAACTATGCAATGGCATTTCAAAAACAAGTTCAATTAAAGTTCATGATGTTTCAATATATACCTCAAAGATAGAGAATGCATTGGCCCGTAAAAGGGTGTTTCTTGTTCTTGATGATATTAGTAATCTTGTTCAGTTGGATGCATTACTTGGAAGCAAGGGTTTTCATCCTGGAAGCAAAGTTATAATAACAACAAAGGACAGATGGTTGACAGAGAGTTGTGCACTATTCAAAACAAACATTAAACCCAAGCATGTAGAACACTTCCTTGAAGGATTACATGAGAATGAATCACGACAACTTATGTTTTCACATGCATTCACTTGTAACCATCCCAAGGCAGGTTATGAAGAGGTTTTCGATGAGCTTGTGAAGTATTGTCAGGGACATCCATTGGCTCTTGAAGTTTTGGGCAAGTCTCTGCATAATCGGGATATGGCTTACTGGGAAGGGTTCATGGAAGGGCTAAAGAAAGAAGTTAGTTCCCCTGTAAATAATGTCTTGAGAATGAGTTTCGATTCTTTGCCATCTAAAAATGATAAGGACTTGTTTAAGCATATTGCTTGTTTTTTTGTTGGAATAGATAGATATGTTAGCGAAACAATATTAGAGGCATGTGATATAAACACAAGATCCGGAATTACGAATCTCATTGATAAATGTCTTCTTAGTATTGGATGGAATAATGAATTGAAGATGCATCAATTGGTTCAAGAGATGGGAAGATTTGAAGTAGGTCAAGAGTCACCTAACAAGCCATGGAAGAGAAGTCGATTATGGTGTCATAAGGAGTCATTCAGAGTGTTGAAACAAAAAAAGGTAAGAAGCCATTATGCTTTTAGTAGCGTGCATGTCCAAAATACTTTGTATTGCCTAATTTGTTTATTTGCATTCTGTTTCTGTTTCTTCTTAGGGTAAGGGAAATCTTCTAGGCCTTTCCCTTGACATGCGCATGCTTGAGAAAGAGAAGTTGGGAGCATCATATGAGCTGAAAACAGATGCATTGAGTAACATGGATAGTCTTATGCTACTACAACTCAATTATGTGCACATGCATGGGTCTTATGAGAACTTTCCAGGGGAATTAAGATGCCTGTGTATGCATGGGTTTCCTTTAAAGTCTATACCTTTAAACTTACCTATAGAGAATGTTGTTGCTCTTGACATGTCATATAGCAATATTGAATCATTTGTCAGTTGTTATAGTAATCCACAACAACTTGAGAAGAGGAAAAAGGTAAACTTATCTTCATTTGTTATTCATGCATGTGAGTGGATAGATAAAATTCAATACTATACTAACTTATCTCCGTTTTGAAGTTGGATGGATTCTTCTTCGAAGAGAAAATGTTGTTTGGTTCACTGAAGATTCTTAATTTAAGTTACTGCAAACAACTTCATAGTGTTGGTGATTTTGATCAATTCCCTGCGCTTGAGATGTTGATCCTTAGAAATTGCATTGGTTTGCTTGATGTTTGTGAATCAATTGGGCAATGTGTTAAACTTGTTCTAGTTGATCTGAGCTACTGCAAGAAGCTTGAAAAACTTCCAAGAATTATAGGCATGTTAAAGAAGGTTAAAACAATGTTGTTAGATGGTTGTAATCTTGGTGAATCTCGAATCAAGAATATGGATATGGATTTATTGGATACTTGCACTGTTAACAACATTGGTATAAACAGAAGAACCTCTTTCTATGCCTTTATGGGTGCTATACCACATGATTTGAAGTCCATTGCAATGTCTTTACCGAGGTCTTTAGTAAGTTTGTCACTTGCAAAGAACAAGTTGTCTAATGAATCCTTTCCCATGGACTTTAGTTGCCTATCCATGTTAAAGGAGTTATATTTAGATGGCAATCCTATCAATTCCATGCCCAATTGTGTGAGATCTCTTCCTAGACTTGAGATACTCAGTATGGGGAAGTGTAAAAAATTGAAGTCAGTCGAGTATCCTCCACGTACACTAAGAGAGTTGTTTATTAATCCTGATCATGTTTTGTATCGTACAGAAAAAGTTGTATTTGATCCTGAAATGTCCCCACTCCAGTTATCAATAAGATGGATAGGTTACGCATCTTGGATAGTTCACGCACTTGGTTCTTATGAAATTGAAGGCTTGGTGAAAATCCAAGCAATGGTGAGTGTTGAGGAAAAGGTATTACGTAGCTTGGGCTGGAGTAATTTAGACTTCCTTAACGAAAGATGCGTGGGAACTAATTCTTCAGAATCTGAAATCAAGGTTTTGTCTAGTTAACTTAAATGTCTGTCTTTATGTCAGTATAATTGTTATGGTGATTAATTAAGGTGGGTTGTATTTGGCAGGTGATGATTTATGAATTTGGAATATTTAGCACAAGGTATGAGGCAAAGGTGATGCCAAGTTGGTTTAGGCATAGAAGCTTGGGGTCATCAATATCATTTACCATCCCATCATCATCTCCAAACAACCTCCTTATAGGACTCAACTTCTGCTCTGTGCAGACAAGGCAAGTTTTGGATGAGTTGCCTCCATTCAACCTTACACCAATGATCACAATTAGTAATATAACAAAGAACTACATATGGATGTACGAACGTTACAGGGATGAATTTAGTCCAAATCAAAATTGTAGGGTGGTGTTAAGTCATTGGATGTTTGGTATGAATGAGATGGAAGGTGGTGACCTGGTTACCATTACTGTTACAAATCTAGATAATGAAGTTGTAAAGAGTGTGGGGTGAGTCTTGTGTATGAAGATGGAGAGAAGAAGGATGAAGAAGAAGATGTGTTGGGTTATTACAAGTCATGGAATCACATAATTGGTGGAGATCTCTCTCCTTTTCAAACAACAACAGGACAATACCTCCTAAACAACAAGCGGTTTTTTTATTATGGCATTACATTGTATCCATATCATCGTCAATTCGTTCCGGATGGCCCAAACTTTCAAGGTAACCCATGACCTCTACTATAAGAGTTTCATATAACCCAAATCGACCCATTTAACATTGATTTTATTGACCTCTACTATAAGAGTTTGTTTTAATAAAATATGAAAAATAAAATTTCTACTTCTAACTTTTAAATGAATCGACCCAAGTAGTGATCCGTCTCAATGTGTCTATGTTAACTCATTAAGTCTTGATATGTTGGGTCACATAAATATATCAGGACCAGTACAAATTACTTTTTCCAAGTGGATATTTGTGAGTAATAATTAACACATAACTGTTTATCTGTTTTCAGCACAAAAGGAAAAGTGTTGGTTTAGAGCTTTATCCCCCAGGAAAAAGAAACCTGACATACTTGGTCATGGTCATGCATCTGAGGTATACTTTTTTGACACCCAAACCTTTCTCTCATCACATGAATAAAGGCATACACATCTATATTATATATATATATATATATATATATATATATATATATATATATATATATATATAATATTTTTGACACCCATGCCTACCCATTAACCGGATAACGCATCAGACCATCCATGGATAACTAATTCCTTCATTTAGGGCTCTAAATTCCGTGTTTTTGGTTGTTATAGGTCTTCTGGTTTTTATTTAATTCAGTTCTATCTTCCCTCAAAATCTTATACAATGCCTCTATCGTACTTCATTACTGCAGTCTTAGTCTTTGCCTGAAGGGCCTCTTTATGAATTTGTGGAACTTGTTTTT